CTGAATCTGAAGAGAAATGATAACGCCAAAACACTGATTGCAGAAAAAGCTGGTAGAAATACAAATGAAGAGAAGGCATTGAAACAGTTTCTCTAAAAGAATTTGACTTTGTTGTCTTCTACAAAGTATGCTTTCATGGCTACTGGAGCTATATTTTAATACTGCGGCATGTGAAATAGCAGTGACTTGTAGATATGTGACAAAGTAAGCTGAACTATGTGAAGGGTATGGGAGAGACTGAATTTTGAAACTAAGAGCTGCTGATTGATTAGCAGGCAAGAACAAGGTCCACCCTTTCAGCATCGCTGCTAAGAGCTGCAGAAAGCCTCAGTACGGGCACAGGTGTCTTCAGTACTGAACTTCAGTACTGAATATTGACCTCTTCAGTGTGAACACGTCGTTACTTCCTTTTTACTCAAAGCAGCTAGCCAAAGCGTGGGATCTCATAGGTTATTTCAATTAGGAAAGAAATTGATGAGGCAATACAATATCTTAACAATGCTTTTGTATTTTCAACAAAGTGCAGACTCCTGGTCCTCCTCTGCCCCACCCCCACCCTTTTTTTTAGACACAGAGAAATTAAGTCTCTGGAAGAGAATCCAGTTCACAACTCCAGTTTTCTTTCTCCAAGGGCTCTGGTCAAAAGCTGATCAAAGGGCCTCACAGGGCCCTGAACTAATGCTTATTTTAGCTTTCTTAAAATCTTTTTTCTGAGTTCTAACTCTGCTTCTCCACTTGAATGTTTTTTCTAATGTCATAGAGCATGCAAGGCACACCCCAAACAAGATACAATTCAAAGCTTCTGAGTAGTCTTTTTTGTCCTTGTTTGGGTTAGAATATGTACTTAATGGTTTTGTACACTCATCTTGAACAAACACCAACAATTGAATCCACCAGTATGAATATATATTAACCCAGATTGTAAACGCAGGACCGATTTTGGCTACGTTCATCATTCTGCTGAGGTCTAAAATGACGACAGTCCTTGCACGCCAAAAGAATATAAAACATTTAAGACAGTTGATCTAAACTGAACTACTTACACATTTACAGGATCTTTCTTACAGGATAATTTCAAATGGCAACACACTATCACTCTCATCCAAACCTAAGAGTCTTTCTTTCCCT